GCTGCTATAAATATTTTTGTACAAATAGGTCCTTTTTCCATTTGTATTATCTCTTTGGTATACAGACCTAGTAGTGGTATTGCTGGATCAAAGGGTGTGCACAGTTTGATAGCCCTTTGGACCTAGTTCCAGATTGCTCTCCAGCCTGGTTGGATCAGTTCACAACTCTACTAACAATGCATTAATGTTCCAGTTTTCCCACATCCCCTCCAGGATTTATCATTTTCCTTTTTTGTCACATTAGCTAGGTGTGAGGTGGTGCCTCAGAGTTGTTTTAATTTGCATTTCTCTGATCACTAGTGGTTTTAGAGCATTTTTCCATATGAATATAGATAGCTTTAATTTCTTCATCTGAAAACTGCCTAGTCATATCCTTTGACCATTTCTCAATTGGGAAATGACTTATATTCTTACAAATGTGACTCAGTTCTCTAAATATTTGAGAAATGAGGCCTTTATCAGAGATAACTTGGTATAAAAATTGTTTCCCAGCTTTCTACTTTCCTTCTAATCTTGATTAGTCATAAACTCTTAAACTTGGCTAATTATCAACTTAAATCAAATTTTTTAAAAGTAGAAAAGGTAGATTTTAGACATTGCAAGCTAGTGATTTTGCCATCAATTTCTGGCAAAATTCTAAACGAAATTATCAAAGAGATAGTTATTGATTATTTAGGAATGGAAGTAGTGATTATGAGGCTCCTACATGAGTTTACTAAAGTAGATGAAGTCATTCCAAGACAGCTATGTATCCTTTTTTAAGAAAGTAACTTCATTTCCATTTCTAGCGGGGTAGATCAGATAAATAGCATAGATATATGATTTCCTGAAGGCAAAGAGTCCCTTATCATATCCTCCTGGACAAGATGGAGAGACTGGACAGTCAGCAGCCACAGTTTTAGTAGCTGGTTGAGTGGTATAGTGTTATTGGTTGATGCACGTCAATCCGATGGAATAATAATAGCATTCACATAGTGCCTATTATGTGCCAGCCACTGTGCTAGGCTCTTTATGTTTGATCTTTACAACAGTCTTGGAGTAGGCGCTATTATTATCTTGATTTTATAGATGAGGAAATTGAGGCAGACAGGCTAAGTGACTTGCCTAAGGTCACACAGCTAGTCTGAGGCCTGATTTTAACTTGTCATCTTGACACCAGGCCCAGCATTCTGTACATTATGGGGCTACTTAGTTGATGAGCATCTCTCATGGCATGCTGCAGAATATCCTTTTTGTTCTTTTCTGTAGTGACTTGGATAAAAACATAGGGGAACAGTTGTCAGATGTGGTTAACACAGCTGGAAGGAGCAGATAAAAGAATCAGGATCCTGGAAGATCTTGACAGATAGGAATAATGGGCCAAACTAACAGAGACATGAACTTAAATTTTAAAAATTAAGCATAGAAATGCAAATCGAAGGAAATTTGGTGGAGTTTATATAGAATCATAGACTTAGGATTACAATTTATGGAAGTTCTGGAAACTACTGAGACCAACTCTGACTTTTACAGATGAGTAAACTGAGGCACAAGGAGGTTGCATGATTTGCCCTGGGTCACACAGCTAGTGTCTAAATTGGGCTTTGAACCCAGGTATTCCTGATTCCAGGTACATATTCTCTACACTATGCTGCCTCTCATGTGAAAAAAATAAAGGTGTTTTAGCTGACCACAAGTTTAATATGAGTTAGTACTGGTCATATGGCTGCCCCCAGAAATATTGTAAACTAAGGCTGTGTTAATTTAAAAAAATGTCTAGGAAAAAAGAATGACCAGTCCTGTTGTGTTTTGAAATGTTCTGACCCCATCTAGTTGTGTTCAGGTACAGAAATCTTGATGAGCTGTGTCTGGAGGGAAGAAGATGACCAGAGTGGTGAAAGGAGTGTGGACCCTTGTGTCCTGTGAGAAATAGTTGAAGAGGGCAGCTAGGTGGCACGATGGATAGAGCGCTGGCCCTGGAGTCAGGAGGACCTGAGTTCAAATGAGGCCTCAGACCAAACACTTGACACTGGCTGTGTGACCATGGGCACGTCACTTAACCCCCATTGCCTCACCAAAATAAAAAAATAAGTATGTACAGATTACATATAAAAGAATAAATAAAATCAGTGTAGTTTCAGAGGGCAGAAGGAAATCTTACATGAATAGAAGTTAAAAGAAGGCAGCTATTTATTGACTCCATGTATAAGGAAGAACTTTTTTAACAATTAGGCATGTCAAAAAATGGAAGAGGTTACCCTGTAAAATAATAAATTTCTGGTAACTGGAAGTGTTCAAGCCATCAGTTTGATTTTGATAAAAGAGACTCATGCTTTGAGTAGGAGATTGGATTAGATGACATTTAAGATCCCTTCAATTCTAAATTTTCTGTGATACTATAAAATTAATATTAGATGTCTAGACTTTTCCTTCTACCACCATCCTCTGACTGCTAGTGGGCAAACATTAAGTTAGGCCACTTATCTGTCCATTACTGTCTCATTAAACTTAGAAAATCTCATTTTTGTGGGTTGTATAATTTCTGTTCTGAATGGAAACTGGTTTTCTTTCTTTTGAATTTTAGTGCATATGAAAACATCCATTACGAAGTGTGATGCATACCTCAAAGCTTAAAAGTTACCCTAAGTTGTCAGTATGGTAATTAACACCATTGCCCTGAATCATTTAACAATTTATTTCCTAGCCATTTCTCCTTAGAGTTAAAAAGGAAAAGAAATCAAATATGGCATCCTAATTAGTATGGGAAAACATGTTCTTCACGTGTGGTGAATGAGCACTTACTTTCTGGGTGGTTATGGATAGGTAGACAATAGGTTATATATTAGAAAAGGGGACAATCGGTGACAATCACTTTTAATTTAGAATCAGATTACTGATTTTTTAAAATTACTTGTAATACCTTGTTAAAAAATTCGGATGGGGGCAGCTAGGTGGCACGGTGGAAGGAGCGCTGGGCCAGGATTCAGGAGGACCTGAGTTCAAATGCGGCCTTAGACACGTAATACTTACTAGCTGTATGACCCTGGGCAAGTCACTTAACCCCTTTGCCTAGCCAAAAAAACAGCAACAACAAAAACTCCAAAAGATTCAGATGACTAAAATTATAATTATTCAAATTCATTAGCAGAAGAGAGAAACTTTCTTTGACAAGAAGTTTTACTAAAGGGGAAATAGTATTTATGATGTGATGATATAACCTAACTAATACAAGCAATTTGCTACCAATGTTTTGTGATGTCCTGGGCCTCGAGTGTTTGTTTGTTTGTTTGATCGATCGGTGTTTCTTAAGCTACTATGTATGTTTGTGCTAAGCCATGGGGACTACAAAAAAAGTTTGCCACAGTCCTTGCCCTAGAGCAGGTTCTTACACTTGTATGAACCGTTGGGTTTGTTTTTGTTTTGTTTTTAAATGATTCCAAAGAGGCTACATCTTTGGCCCTCTGATTTTTTTTCCCCCTTTGGGAATCTTACCAACTCCCAGATCTGCTAATGGATGATGTTCAAATCTGTTTCTACAATTTCCATGACTCCTGTATCCCAGTGCTCAACCTTCAGCTGCCTGTAAACATTTCCACATGAATGTTCACACTCACACTTGTCCAAGACTGAACTTATCCTCTTTTCCCAAGAACCTGACCTATGGTATCACTATTCTTCCAGTCATCTAGGCTCAAACCCTTGAAACAACTTTGGATTCAGAAGGAAAAGGGATAGTAAATTGCTAATTAAGTTCTGTGTATTTGTATTTCCATCTCTTGTCCCTTTCTTTGCATTCCCATGGCCACTGCTTTACGTCCTCATACTCTGATTACTAAAATAGCCTCCTGTTGGTCCTGCCTCTATTCCTTTCCTTCCTATTTTATCTTATGTATAGCTGCCTGAGTAATTTGATTAGATTTGGTGTCTATCCATTAATCATAGAATAGAGCTCAGACTCCTAGTGTGGCACTCAAGGCCCTCCACAGTCTTTAATATAGTTTTGGTTTTGTTTTTTTTTTTTTTAAGGCAATTGGGGTTAAGTGACTTGCCCAGGGTCACACAGCTAGTAAGTGTCAAGTGTCTGGTCTGAGGCCGGATTTGAACTCAGGTCCTCCTGACTTCAGGGCCGGTGCTCTATCCACTGCGCCACCTAGCTGCCCCTATAGTCTTAACTACAATCTAACTTTCCCGATTTCTCTGTTTTGCTTCATGAACTCTTTGTTCCGGCCGAACTGTACCATTCACTGTCCCTAAATTCACCTGTCCTCTACCACATCTGTGCCTTTGTTCTGTAACTATGGCAGTGAAAACATCATTATTCTAATTAGTTTAACAAACGATTTGCTAGCTTTTTCTCCTGGCTATGAAAAAAGAAAGAAAACCAAATATAGTGTCCTGGTTAGTGTATTCCATACTTGGGGATGTAATTCTTCACCCTTTAGAAGTCATTGCTGTGAAACTTTGCCTGGTGTCCTACTCTTCCCCTTCATTTCTTTTCCCTAATTTGTGCTTCTGTTCATAGTAATAATACCTTGTACATTTCTAATTTGGATTATAATCATTTACGTCCTTGTCCCTCGCTCCCTACTAGATTATAAGTTCCGTAAGTGCAGAAACTATATCCTAGTCATCTTCATATCACCAACACCATGCAGATGATGAGACTAAAGTTGGCATAGTGGAAATAACACTGGACTTGGAGCCAGGATACTGGGGTTCCAAACTTGCCCCTGACACCAGTTATATGACCTTTAGCAAGTCACTTCAATTCTCTGGACCTTCCTAATACACAGCTAAGCCAGTTCAATATTGTGATTAAATTATGCTCAAATTGCTAAAGAAAGTAACATTCATTTTACCTTTTAAAATTGGATTTGCTGTTTTCCAACCAAATAATTTCCAGCAAAAAGTAATATGTAATAAGGCCTAAATATACACATTCCCCGTTATCAAGATTTTGCCTTTCTTCTGTGCATAGGTGAAGTAAATACTTTCTTAATCGAATTTATTTTTATTTGTAGATGTCACTAAGAGGAGCTGCACCAATGACAGTTGTACATCTTTCTGGAGAACAAGTACAAAATCAGGGCGTCATCCAGACTGCTCAGTCATCTTCAGTTATCCATCCACCGCAAGTACAGACAGTGCAGGTAACTGAAAACTTGATCTGTGTGGTACAGAGTATGATTTTTTGTGTCCTGAGTCTTATCTGACATGGTTATTGTCTCATTACTGTGTTATAAGTGGTATGATATAATCTCTCACTATCATGAATCCACATTAGATTTATTGTGTGCAAGGACAGGTAGGCTCAAATTTTAAGGGAAAAGATAGGTCTTAAGGGAAGGACACTTGCATATCCAGTGGTGGAAGGATTATCCTGGTAGGCAGAGGGAAGCTCTAAAGTAAAATGGGAAGAAGTGGGAATCATGGGTATGTTAGAAGATACATAGCACTTATTTCTTTCTCCCTTGCCCTGAAAACCAAACTCATCCTTGGTGAGGTAAAAGAGGAAGTCATATCTATCAATTGTCTATCATCATAGGGGAAAGTGGGAGAGAGGCTCAATGAAGGGTTCTCTCTTGTCTAGCTACAAATCAAAATTTGATGGCTAAGCAGACAGGAAAGAACCTGGCAGGTAGATAGCTTAACCCTTTTAGGAGTCCTTTCCTTTAGTGTCTCGGCTATGCTAGGCTCTGTGCTACAAAAAATAGAATTAATCCTACTGCAAGGAAATAACCAGTGTGCAGGTGAGTTTATATTAAGGGCATACAGAGTCAGTACAAAGTAATTTGGGAATGAGAGGGAAAAGCACAAACTACTGCGACAATCAGGAAAGGCCTTCTGTAGGAGGGAGTCAAAGGTAAGGATGAAGAGAACAGTTTAAGAATAGGGGCAGACCAGGCTGTGGAGAATGTCATATACAGGCAACAGCAGATAGGAGTGTTTGACTGGACTTTAGAGAGAATAATGTTCAGTCAATTTGGAAAGAGATTGGATTCAGATTATGAGAAGTTTTGAATGCCATACAGAGATGTTTGTATTTTATCCTAGGGGCAACTGGGAACCATTGCAACTTCTTATTTAAGAAGAAGTGACATGATTAGACCTTTGGTTTAGGAGTATCACTTTGGCATTTATGAGAGGGTGGATTGAGAAGCAAGAAACTGGAGGTAGGGAGACCAGTTAAGTCATTGCAGAGTGAAGGCTTGAGGTAATGAAGTCCTTAATCAGTGTGGTGATTGTGAGTAGAAGGCAGAAGAGAGAGCTTTGAGAAATGGAGAGTCAGTAGGACTTAGAAATTGATTATGGGGTGAGGGAGAGTAAAGAGTTGAGGATTATGCTGAGGTTACAAACTTGGGGTGACAAGAAGTAGTGTAGTAGTGTCCTTGACAGAAGTAGGCAAGTTAAGTAGAGGGGTGGATTTTGTGGGGAGGATAAATTCTTTATGGGACATGTTGCATTTGAGGTGAATGGCATGAATAAATACGTGAATGAATGAAAGAAAAAACATTTATGAAGCACTTAATTATGTGCCAAGCACTGTGCTAATCAAGACGACTCAAGGAATTCACTCTTTAATTCAAGCAGCCAACACAAGTAAGAGTTCACTTTCAAAGAGAGTTGGAAAGGCTCAGAAGAAGTGACATTGGAGTGGGTGGCAAGACTTTCATCCTTAGGGTCTGTTACTAGTGCCTGTAAATCTGGATGGCACGGTGGCAAGTCCTGTTGAGCATCTGTTTAGCGAGTATAGGACAGACTGTTCATTCAAGCAATGTGAGCAACTATATCCACTCAGCAGGGTGAGGGGCTGGAAGGGGCACTGCCCATTGCTATTGGGAATGAGGGAGGAGTAGGCCTAAAGGTTTGAGTAGAGCCAGATTTTGGGCTACTTCTTGCAGGGGTAGGAACTAGGGGGAAGGTAATGATCCAGCCAAGAGGTAGGAAGGGGGTAATTGGCAAGAAGACAAGGCAAGAAGCATTTATTGTGTTTACTAAATGCCAGTGTCACTGTGCTGAGTGCTAGGGATACAAATATAAGCAAAAATATAGTCCCTGCCCTTGAGGAACTTAAATTCTAATGTGAGAAGACAACACAGAAAAAGGGAGATGAATAGGTGAAGGTACTTTGGGGACATAGTGTTGAACTCCATGAAGTCAGAAGCAGAGCAGAGAGAGGAATGGAAGTTGGCAGGCCTAGTTCCTCCCCAAAATGGAAATTCTGAGAGGAGTCCACCACTGGGAGAAGGGGCCCAGCATGGCAGAAGCATGTTCCAAGCAGCCTAGGCATAGTGGCAAAGTCTGAAAAGTCAGAAGGAGAGAGAGCCAGGAGGGAAAAGGTTACTGGAGAAGGCTGCTCAGCCCTACTCTACCAAGCCCCCAAATGGGCCTGGTTTGCCTGGGATGGAGGATAAAGAAGGGGCCTCAGAAAAATGGAGAGCTGGATATGGGAATTGGGGAGGCATTTGACTAGAGGAGTTAGTTGAATCTAGGGGAACTAACGAAATTACCAAGAAAGTATATCCAGAGGGAGTGGGACATTAATGATGATCCAGCAAAGTAGAGTGCAAGGATAAGAATCAAGAATAGTACCATTACCCTGGGAGATCCTGAGTCTTTTTTGTAAACTTTGTGTTTTGTTTTGTTAAGAAATGGTTTCCCAAGAGCAGCTAGGTGGCACAGTGGATAGAGTACCAGCCCTGAAGTTAAGAGGACCTGAGTTCAAATCCAGCCTCAGACCAAACACTTGACACTTACTAGCTGTGTGACCTTGGGCAAGTCACTTAGCCCCACTTGCCTAAAAATTAAAAAAAAAAAAAAGAAATGGTTTCCTGAAGAAGAGGGAGCAGTAAAGAATTCTTGGAATATAGTGGGACAAGGACCTAAACTTTCATTCTGCTCCCTAGTATAATTATTAAAAGGGAATGACTGTCACAAGCAGTGCCCTTTATTTTTTTTCCTTAGCAATTTGTTACCAGTGTTCTGTGATTTCCCAAAAACTATCAAGCCTTCTCTCTTCTTTTTTCATCTCTGGTCCCAGCTCATTGTCCTTCTATAAGTCTGTCCCAGATATACATACTATTTGACATGTAAAGTGTCCAAATGCATCTTATGTTGAAATCTGCAATAAATGATATTCATCCATTTGGCCTTTCCTGTGTGACTAGACATTGCAGACTTTTTGAGGGATTAAAAACTTCCAAGAACCTCTGAAGTAATCTGGATCTTTATACAATTAGCAGAATATCATCCACAAACAGGAGCATCCAGAGGACCTCACCATCCACCAGGAGTCCTTCTAACCTAGACCCTGGGGTGGGGTGAATCTCCTTCACAGTGACAAAAACCTTTAATGAACATAGGTCTCCTTGCTTTAATGCCTTGCCTGGTATTTATCAGAGGGTCATTGAATAGGGTGTATTTCTGTTTTTATATGTTCCTGAATCCTGAATGATCTTAATTTGTGGATGAAAGCTTGCTGTTTTAAAAAAAGAAACTTGTCAAGGCAATATTTTGTTCTGCCATATAAAATGCTTTTTGTTTGGAAGGCAGGGATGAACACTAAACCCAGTGAGATCTTATATTCTCTACATCATTCATTTAATTGTAATCTGGTAAAGATGTGTCCCTTGTTGAACATAGCGTGTGAAAACTTAACTTGGTCCCTACCAATACCTTCATTAATGATTCACTCAACTTGACATAACTCTCATAAAGATTTATACATCAACTTAGAGGTCAGTAGTTGCAGGTGGTCACCTTCTTTTTTCCAATATTAACATTTGAGAATGTCGCCATACGTTTTTTATCTTCTTCTAAGTGTATGGCTCTAGTACAGATCTTCCCCGTTTATATCATACTTGACCTAATCTGCTTGTTTTTGCCATCATTTCTGCCTCCATTATAAACACCTCAAGTGGGACAGGTAGATGGCGCAGTGGCTAGAGCACTGGCCCTCTACCTGGCCCCAGAGTCAGGAAGACCTGAGATCAAACTAACTCTGTGACCCTGGGCAAGTCACTTAACCCCATTGCCTAGCAAAAAACAACAAATACCTACCTCAAGGGCTATGATGTTAGGTTCCAGGGGCAGTTAGGTGGGACGGTGGCTAGAGCACCAGCCCTGAAGTCAGGAGGACCTGAGTTCAAATCCGGTCTCAGGCACAAGCTATGTGATCTTGGACAAGTCACTTAACCCCAATTGCTTCCCCAAAATAAATAGTCCCACTATTCTTGAATGGATTTATTAAAATGTCTTTGCAAATCTCTTACATTCATTTCCTTTTTAAACTTAACTTTTTAAAAATTTTTAAACAAGCATTTCTTTACATATAGCAAACAGAACACAAAGAGAAAATTCGTTATGAAACTGCAAATCTCTATTTCATATCACTTAATGTGTTTTTTAAAGTATATAACAAATTTTACATGTTACTTTCTTTTTAAAAATTTTTATTAAAACTTAAATATAAACTAGGAGAGAACCTGTCATGTGCACAGCAGAACGAAGAGAGGGTTCAAAATAATATAGCAGTAAATTTCCATTTCAAGAAAGCCTATGTATTAAATACTACACATTGTGTTGATAGCTGTCCATCTTTTCTTTTCTTCCTTGTTTTCTTTTGTTCTCTGCTGTATGCTTTTTACTTTGTACTTCTTTTCCTCCTTACGTATTACCTTCAAAATGGCCTGCTTGTTTGCTTCTTTTAGTTCTCTTCTGTGCAGTTTTTAAAAAATCACAGTAGCCTTTGTTTTTGGCTTCACTATTGCTAACTTCCTTCCTGATAACTTTGACACTGTTGTCCACCCTCTCCTCTGATATACCTTCTTCTCTCTAGGTTTTCAGGATACTACTCTTTCCTGGTTCTTCTCATACCTATATGGCCATTCCTGCTCATTCTCCTTTGCTAGATATTTTATCCAAATCAAGCCCGTTAAGCATGGATATACTACAGTACTTTTTCCTGGATCCTCTTCTTTCTCTCTGTACAGTTTCACTTAGTGATCTTATCAGTGCCTATGGATTCAGTTTTCATTTCTATGCTAATCATTCTCAAATCTGCTCATCTACTTACCATATACTTACTTAGCCCTAACCTCTCTGCTCACTTCCAAACTCGCATCTCCAGCTGCCTTACAAACTTTGTAAACCAGATGTCCAGCAGAGGTCTTAAACTCAACATAGCTGAAACTGAACTCATTTTATTTCCCCCATCCAGGGTACTGCTAGCCTCCCAGTCCCTCAGGCTTACAGCCTTGATATCATCTTGACTACTCACTGTCTCTCCATCTGTATATCCAATCTGTTGCTAGGGTCTGTTGAGTTCACTTTTGTAATAACAACTCTGAAATACGCCCTCCTCTCCCTGTTACCTCCAGGATCAAATATGAAATGTTTAGTATATGAGGCCTTCATATTCTGTCCTCTCAGTCTTCTTACACCTTACCAGGGGCAGGGAACCTATGGCCTAGAGGCCACATGTTGCTTTCTAGGTCCTTGAGTGCAGCCTTTTGACTGAGTCCACGTTTTACAAGAACAAATCTCTTTAAGTCCTTTTATTAAGGAATTTGTTCTGTGAACTTAGGATTCAGGCAGAGGGCCACACTTGAGGACCTGGAGGCCATAGGTTCCCCACCCCTGCTCATACCATTGCTTCTCCATGTGCTCTTCAATCCACTGACAACTGCCCTCCTTACTGTTCTCCAAACAAAACATTCCATCTGTTGTTTCTTGGTATTTTTCTCTACAGTCCCTCCTACCTGTAGTACTCTCCCTCCTCATCTCTGCTTTTTGCCTTCCAGTCCCAGGTAAAATCCCTTCTTCTACAGAAATCCTTTCCTTCCTTTCTAGTACCTTACACCTCTTGATTATTTCTTTTTTATCCTGTATATAGCTTGTTTGTACACATTTGTTTGCATGTCGTTTTCCTTATTAGATTGTGAAGTCCAAAAGGGCAGGGACCATCTTTTGCCTTTTATTTTCATGATTGCCATCGTGCCTAGCATCTAATAGGTGCTTAATAAATGCTTATAGATTGACTACCTCCACTTCCTTTTATAACTGAAATTGCTCTATTTCACATAGCTGGTTAGAAGAGTTTAGCAATTTAATCAATTGGGTTATGTATAAATAATGGGAAAATAGGTATGGAATACTTAGTATGTTTTAGAACATGATTTAGTGCATAGAGCTGTTATGATTGTGCCTTGTTGGTTTGGTCTTAGAGAGAAATATTTACTAACTGCTGTCACAGGGAGGCAGTCTGTTCTAGTAAATAACACAAGAGGGAAAAACTATTTTTGGATACTTTCTATTAGAGAATATTTATTATATTTGTAGGCGAGTTTAGAATAACATGTTACCCATCTCTGATTAGGAGTTAATAGTTAATTACCTTAATATTGCTTAAAACAATAACACGTATTAGAGTACAATCTCATTTGACATTAGAAAAGTGCTTTTTCTGCCTTACAGTTATTTGCAACTACATAACATTTTTATTGCATTTAGTTGCAGATATTTGATATAGTCATTGATAGGTGCTTTAATGATAAAATATTTTGAGAGATATATATATATAAATTTCAGAAGAATAAAGTTACAGTAACATATATCCTTAGAGAAGTTTTGGAAAACCAGTAAGTTTCTTCATGTTAGTTGGTGTAATTCCTGACAGTGTGTAACTATGGAGGTCTAGTTTTGAAGACATCTTCTTGCTTATTTCTGGTTCTGCTGCTTTTTTGAAATAATACACACACACACACACACACACACACACACACACACACACACGTTTCTATACATAGAAATGGATATTTCCTTTATTTGCTCTCCTGAGTTAAACTGTCCTCAGATTGCTGATTTTTAGAAAATAATATTCAAAGTCAGATTCAGCAACGTGAATGCATTTGGGATGGGGTCTATTTGTTCTGAATGTAATAGCATGAAAATTAGGTCTTATTAGAACTCTTCTTGAATACTTTACTTGTATTGTTTATCATGAAATAAAGTGTACTTTTTAGGTATCATCCTGGTCAGATAGTGAAGATTCTCAGGATTCATCTGATAGCATAGGCTCTTCACAGAAAGCTCGGGGGATTTTAGCACGGCGTCCATCTTACAAGTGAGTATTGCTTCATACATTTTTTTCATTTATGAAATTCCAAAGCCTTGTATAGTGCTGTAAATTTGATATAGGAGCTTATGCCATGAAAATTAGTGGAAACCAAATTATGTAATATTATAATCACCATCATTGAAGCATTTTCTTTAAAATTCACAAAATAGCACTGAAGGAAGGCCAGAAAGAATTACAAATGAGCAATAGCTGAAAGTTAGAAATTCAGTTACAAACAAAGCTGAATTTGTTTCATAATTAAAAAGAAAAGCAAGCTGTACATAGTGATTTGCAGTTTCTTGTACAGTCCTTTTTTTTGTTTGTGGAAAAGCCTATTTTATATTTGTAATTTCAAAAATTTTTTTAAAAAGATAATCACCAAGCTTGACTCCACAAGAAACTATGAAGGAAAAAAAGAAGGAAGCAAGCATTTATGAGGCATCTGTTGTGTGTGCTGGACACTTTGCTGAGTGCCATTCTAATATTATCTCATTTGATTCTCACAACAACACTGGGGGGTAGGTGCTGTTGTTATCTTCATTTTACAGTTGAAGAAACTGAGGCAGACGTAACACAGGAGACTCTGAATCTAGATTTGAACCAAGGTCTACTTTTAGGCCAAGTGCTCTATCTAGGTTGTTCCCTCCTTTGCAGAAGTGGGGGATTATACCCCACAGATGATGTTTGACTTTTTTTTCCTCTTTTATTCTTTGTTTTAATGGATGCCTCATTGGAAGTAGGTGGGAGTGGTAACGGGAGGGGAGCAGGGAACAGCGGATATACTGGGAAATCTATATGACATAAAAACAAAACATCAGCAAAAAATATTTAAAATACAAAAACCAAAAATGTCACAAGGACAGATAGATAGATGTATAAAGAATTATACCATTTGAATATTTGCATTTCAGACATTAATTGAAATGCTCTCATGTACTGGGAAGTGAGGAGTATATCAGAATGACAAATAGAAGGACCACTTCATTTCTGGTGAGGGAAAACTTCAATGAAGAGAGTTTCCAAGAACTTCTGAGAAGCTGTGAAATGTCAATAAAATGAACTTATTTTGCATTAGAAATTAACATGGCATTATTCAGGTCGTTAAGCAGTACTTTATGTTAATAAATTTGAGTGTTGTTTTTGGGGTTTATAAGTGCTTTAAAACACTTTCAGGTGGGCAGTGGATTAGTAATTGTGTTAATGTTTCTACTTGTTTTGTGGTTAATCTTAAGTTTTATTAAAGTTTATGTATTTATTTTTAGTTTTCAACATTCACTTTTATAAGATTTTGAGTTCCAAAATTTCTTCTCATCTCTCCCCTTCTCCCACCCCAAGACGACGTACAATTTGATATAGGCTCTACACATACATTCATACTGAACCTATACTCACATTAGTCATGTTGTAAAGAAGAATTAGAACCAATGGGAGAAACCACCAGAAAGAGAGAGAGAGAGAGAGAGAGAGAGAGAGAGAGAGAACGAGCAAATAATATGCTTCGATCTGCATTGAAACTCCATAGTTCTTTTTCTAGATGAGGACAGCATTTTCTATCATGAGTCCTTTGGAGTTGTCTTGGATCCTTGCACTACTAAGAGGAGATACAAATATTTTTTAAAATTTATTTTGATTTCTCAACAATCACTTCCATAGCTTTTGAGTTTTAAAATTTTTCTCCTCATCCCTCCCCACGACGGCGCACAATTTGATATAGGCTAGTAGTTCCAAATTGCTCTCCAGAATGATTGGATCAGTTCACAACTCCACCAGCAATGCATTAGTGTACCAATTTTCCCACATCTTTGCCAACATTTATCATTTTCCTCTTTTATCATGTTGGCCAATCTGATAGGTGTGATGTGGTACTGAGGTTTTTTTATTTGCATTTCTCTAATCAATAGTGATTTAGAGCATTTTTTCATATGACTATGGATGGTTTTAATTTCTTCATCTGAGAACTGTCTGTTCATACCCTTTGACCATTTATCAATTGGGGAATGACTTGTATTCTTATAAATTTGACTTAATTCTCTATATGTTTTAGAAATGAGACCCTTATCAGAGACACTGGTGTAAAAATTCTTTCCCAGTTTTCTACTTTCTTCTTAATCTTGGTTGCATTGGCTTTGTTTGTGCAAAAACTTTTCAATTTAATGTAGTCAGAATTATCCGTTTTGCATTTCATAATGTTCTCTGTCTCCTGTTTGGTCATGAATTCTTCTGTTGTCCATAAATCTGACAGTAAACTATTCCTTGCTCTCCCAGTTTGCGTATAGTAAGAAGAGATACATCTTATCAAAGTTAGTCATCACACATTGTGGCTGTTACTGTGTACAGTGTTCTCCTGGTTCTGCTCACCTCACTCAGCATCATTTCATTCAAGGCTTTCCAGGTTTTTCTGAAGTCCACCTGTTCATCATTTTTTAAAAAAATTTTAGTTTTCAACAGTCACTTCTATAAGCTTTTGAGCTTTAAATTTTCTCCCTTCCCTCCCTACTTTACTCCCCAAGGTAACATACAGTCTGATATAGGCTGTCCATATACAGTCCTGTTAAACATATTTTCATATTAGTCATGTTGTAAAGAAGAATTAGAACCAATGGGAGAAACTACAAGAAAGAAGAAACAAAACAAAACAGAAGGGAAAAAAATGAACAAATAGTATGCTTCAATCTGCATTCAAACTCTGTAGTTCTTTCTCTGGATGTGGATAGCATTTTCTAGCATGAGACTTTTGGAGATGTCTTAGATTCTTGCATTGCTAAGAGCTAAGTCTATCAAAGTTAGTCATCACACAAGGTGGCTGTTATGCTTACGACATTCTCCTGGTTCTGCTCACTTCACTCAGCATCAGTCCATACAAGTCTTTTCAGGTTTTTCTGAAGTCAGCCTGCTTATCATTTCTTGTAGTACAGTGGTATTCCATTACATTCATATACCACAGTTTGTTCAGACATTCCCCATTTGATGGGTATCCCCTCAATTTCCAATTCTTTGCCACCACAAAAAGAACTGCTATAAATATTTTTGTACATGTGGGTCTTTTCCCGTTTTTATGATCTCTTTGGGATACAGCCCTAGAAGTGGTATTGCTGGGTCAAAGGGTATGCAGAGTTTTATAGCCCTTTGGTTATAGTTCCAAATTGCTCTCCAGAATGGTTGGATCAGTTCACAACTCCACCAGCAGTGCATTAGTGTTCCAGTTTTCCCACATCTTCTCCAGCATTTATCATTTTCCCATTTTGTTGTGTTAGCCAATCTGATAGGTGTGATGTGGTACCTCAGAGTTGTTTTGATGTGCATTTCTCTAATCAATAGTGATTTAGAGCATTTTTTCATATGACTATAGATAGCTTTAATTTCTTCACCTGAAAACTGCCTAGTGATATACTTTGACCATTTATTAATTGGGAAATGACTTGTAGTCTTGTAATTTGACTCAGTTCTTTATATATTTTAGAAATAAGGCCTTTATCAGAGACACTGGTTGTAAAAATTCTTTCCCAATTTTCTGCTTCCCTCCTAATCTTGGTTGCATTGGCCTTGTTTGTGCAAAAACTTTTCAATTTAATGTAACCAAAATTACCCATTTGGCATTTTATAATGTTCTTTATCTCTTGTTTGGTCATAAATTCTTCTATTCTCCATAAATCTGACAGGTAAATTATTACTTGCTCTCCCAGTTTACTGATAGTATCAGCATTTATATCTAAATCATGTACCCATTTTGACTTTATTTTGGTATGTGGTGTAAGATTTTGGTCTGTGCTTAGTTTCTGCCATACTCTTTTCCAGTTTTCCTAGCAGTTTTTGTCAAATAGTGAGTTCTTATCCCAGAAACTGGGCTCTTTGGGTTTATCAAAGGGTATATTACTGTAGTCCTTGACTACTGTGTCTTGTGTACCTAACCTATTCCACTGATCCACCACTCTGTTTCTTAGCCAGTACCAAGTAGTTTTGATGATTGCTGCTTTATAATACAATTTAAGATCTGGTATGACTAGGCCACCTTTCCTAACACTTCTTTTCATTAGTTCCCTTGATATTCTGGACCTTTTGTTCTTCCAGATGAATCTTCTTGTTATTTTTTCTAGCTCTATAATTTTTTGGTAGTTTGATTAGTATGGCATTGAATAAGTAAATTAGCTTAGATAGAATTGTCATTTATTAGCTCAACCACCCATGAGCAACTGATATTTTTCCAGTTATTTAGATCTGCCTTATTTGTGTGAAAAGTGTTTTGTAATTGTGTTCATATAGTTCCTGGGTTTGTTTTGGCAGGTAGACTCCCAAATATTTTATAATGTTTACAGTAACTTTAAATGGGATTTCTCTATCTCTTGCTGTTGGGCTTTGTTAGTATAGAAATGCTGATAATTTATGTGGGTTTATTTTATATCCCGCAACTTTGCTAAAGTTGTTTATTATTTCAAGTAGTTTTTTACTTGATTCTCTAGGATTCTCTAAGTATATCATATCATCTGCAAAGAGTGATAGCTTTGTTTCTTCTTTGCAAAAGCTCATTAAAACTAGCTAACTCCCTATTTGGGGAAACTTTGGGGAAAAGTTTTATTTTCATTTCTGCCATTTGTTGTTAATACCACATCCATTCCTGTATATATCCCTCTCTCCTGCTCATGACATTTTCCCCCATAATGTTTGGATTAGTTCACAGCTTCAACAACAGTGTATTAAAGTCCTTCATCACCTGCCTTCAAACTCGCTTTCTCCAATTTCCTGAACGTCATCTTCCTGTAAGAACACATCAACCCTAAAACTCACACTTTAGTATCTGCTGCCAGTGGGTCCCCTCTTTTCTTCCCTTTGATTACAGAGGGTAGACAGAAGTGAGCTACTCCCAGATCCTCCATTTCAGGAGGGTGCCCAGGACAACCATCTCATCATTTCTTGTTTGTCTGTACTTCTCTGGACTTTATCAGACTCCCCCATTCCTCCTTTTCAGCTTTTTATGTGTTGTTGTTTTACCCGTTAGACTGTGTGCCTCTTGAGGACAGGGATTGTCTTGTGCATTTCTTTATATACCCAGCATAGCACAAGGCCTGGCACTTAATAGGTGCTTGATAAATGTTTATTGACTAACTCTCGAGCCCCTTAATACACTTTGGGGCTGAGCTAACCTTATGGCTATTCCTTATACTTGATCTCCCATCCTTTGCCTTTATTCTGGCTATCCTGCATGCCTGGAATGTACTTTCCTCATTTCCACTCTTTAAAGTCTCTAGATTTCTTCGAACATGAAGCTTTTCTAGATCCCCCAAGCTTCTAGCTCTTCTTTCCCTCCCTTCCTAGTAACCATGTATCTGTTTTGTATGTGACTTCCTATGCATAGTATCTCTCCCAAAGAAAGGCTGCTTCATGTTTGTATTTGTATCCACAGGCCCTGGCACATAGTAAGCACTTCAGTAAGTGCTTGATTGACATTTCGTGGGATTAATACTTTGCACTTCTTTTGAGAACCATTTATTCATATCCTTTAACCATATATCCAATAGAAATGGCTCTTGGTCTTCTATGTTTCTGTCAGTTCCCTATATATTTTATATATTAGAACATTATCAGAGATATTTGATGCAAAAAAGTTTTTTTCTTAGCAGTTTCCTATCTATCCTACATGCATTAATTTGTTTGTGCAAAAGCTTTTCAAATTAACATAATTGAAATTATGAGTTTTAAGTTTTACAATCTTCTTTTTGCCTTGTTTGTTAAGAATTCTTCTCCATTCACAAGTATGAAAGGTACCTGATCTTGTATAATATTTTCTTGTGGCATGACTTTTTTATATTCAGGTCATGAATCTCTGCTCTGAGCTTATTGTGATAGGTAGTGTAATTTGTTGGTCGAAACATAATTTCTGCTAAACTGTTTTCCTGCTTTCCCAAAAGTTCTTATCAAATAGGGGGTTTCCTCAAGTAGCTTATGTTTGTTTCTATAGCACTTAGTACATACAATACTTGGTGTGTAGTAAATGCTTAATAAATTTTTTTTTGTTCATTCATGTTTTTGGCTTTATCCAATCCCTTGTTTTTCAATTCAAGGGAGCTTATTTCATGTCTCTGATATTCAGGTAGACATCAGTTAAAAATTTTTACTGATCTGAATAGTAAGATATTTGGCATGTAGCATAGTCTCATGAAAATGTTGTTTAGGTGTAATGTAGTAAATTTTCAAACTATACTAACAAAATTGTGGGGAGTTATCTAGTCTTAATGAGCTTTTGCAAAGCTGATGTGCTTATAAATAAACCAATGTAGAAATTTGACTTTCCATTTGTGTTGAGTTAATGGAATTCTATTTTTTCCACAGAAAAATCTTGAACGATCTTTCTTCAGAAGACGCCAGAGACAGGAAGGGAGACGGAGAAAACCCTGGAGTTTCAACAGTCACATCTATGTCTGTCCCAACTCCTATTTACCAGACTAGCACTGGACAATACAGTATGTATATGAAGTTGTTGTTCTTCCTTAGTTTTTAAAGAGAACCAATGACATCACAGGGTGATGTCTTGACTTGCAGGTGAATTGGATTTAAGTGAGGCAGAGTTGCAAAAAGTTGGCTACCTCACTGTCTTTTCCTGAGTCATTGAAATCCATTGGCAAGAAAAAGGTCAGGATGACTGGCAGTGTCTTGAGATACAAATGAAACAGACATCTAGACTAAACCTTTTTTATTTGGGAGGGACAGGTGTGTTTTATTTGGTATGTGGTCTTATCCTAGTTACTGGATAATTATACCTGTGGCCTTTGTTGTGACCAAAAGCCATCATCTGGATTAGAATGTGGTAAAAGGAGAAAAATGAACCTATAAAAATAGATTATCAGCCTAGATTGAAGACCTTTCTGTAACTGACTTCTTGTGGAAATTTTATGTTTCTGCCACTCAAATATTGTTTAATTTTTGGCAGGTTATTAACCACCCTTAATCTTAGAATTTTGTCAGGAGGATTATTTGTAATCAACAACATATATCTGATATGTGCAGAGTCTCTGCTTTTCAGTGTTGTGGCTGATTAAAAATCCACTAACCATAGGGAAGCTTGCAGGGGAAATAGGACCAACTCATATAACAGTATACAAAGATATCACCGTCTGATATGGCCTTCTGTAAATTAGTGTCAGGGAGCTGCATGGCTATTATTAGCTTAACAGTTTATTTAATAACTACTCTCCCTAAAGTTAAGCTTTCTTTGCATAACAAATTGGGTGTTGCTGCATGTGACAAAGTAATTAGTTTTGTTTGCATTTATTTCTAAGGCAAATAGTTAATTTATAGTAGGTCCTCTTGATATACTGTAGCTATTAATAAAGACAAACCATTAGATTGGAAATAATCTGCTACTTGGTTATTAATTCTCTCCTTCCTGGTCGTTAAGTCCAGCCTTAGCCCATCTGATTATTAAGACCACTAATGGACACAAACATACATACATATGTAGAGAGCAAGTGAGTGTTTGTACCTACCAGCCAATGACAACTGCATAGAAATGCTTGAGGGGTACTGAAGTGAAGAGGAGAGGAGGGATTCAAAAACATATGGTAGAAATACATTTTAAATTTCCTTTTTCCATTGTGTTTTGACACTGAGAAAGGAATCAAGAATAGTTAATGTTTTTCCTTTAAAGAAGCATATACTAAGCTATATTAATATGTACAAGTTCTCTTACTGAGTGGGGAAAATGAGAGTAACTTTTATTTTTCTTTAGCAGGTCAAATTTGGGAAGTAGGGTTTTTTTCCGCCACCACTCATCCCCGTCAAAGGAGTGAAGAAGTTCGGCATTCATTGAAAGGGAGCTCCATGAAGCCCATATTTGGGCTAGGATCATTAAACATTACAAAGTAGAGATCCTTCTGGACATTCTGTAGTGACTAGATAAGAATCATTTGTGATTAACATCATCTGTGTACAAATACTACTGTTAAGTCTGGATCTGAAAATATTTGAAAACAGTTTGGGCTTAACTAAATTAATCATTTTTCATAATAAACTTGAGGCCAACCTATAGGAATTATGAAATACTGGGATCTCAAATTAATGAGGTTTTACTGTATTGGAATATCTGTTGGAAAAATTAAACTACCTATTTTATTTTCTCTTCCGAATTAAAGTTGCCATTGCCCCAAATGGAACATTACAACTGGCCAGTCCAAGCACAGATGGAGTACAGGGGCTGCAGGCATTAACAATGACAAATACAGGCAGTGCTCAGCAAGGAACAACAATTCTTCAGTATGCACAGACATCTGATGGACAGCAGATACTTGTCCCTAGCAACCAAGTGGTTGTACAGAGTAAGCGTACTTAATATATATATATAGAGAGAGAGAGAGATTTTTCATAGAACTACCTCCAAATGTTTTTGAATATCCTTTAATACTCCCTCTTCTAACTATGTAGCTGCATCAGGAGATATGCAGACTTATCAGATTCGTGCCACACCAGCAAATACTAACCTTCCACAGACAGTAGTGATGACATCTCCAGTCACTATAACATCTCAGACAACCAAAACAGATGATCCACAGTTGAAAAGAGAAATAAGATTGATGAAAAATAGGTAAGTGCTATGCAATTATTTGTAATTAACCTTTAAGCAAATTTTTAAACTACACAGAACTGACATTGTTGCTGTATAGTTGAATAACAGTTCTCAAAACTTTTTGGTTTCAGGACCTCTTTATACTCAAATTATTGAGGACTTTAGTTTATATGTGTTTTACCTGTCAACATTTATTTACCATATTAGAAATTAAAACAAACTTTAAAATATTAATTTAAAAATAATTATCTATTATGATATATTAACATAAATAACATTTTTATGAAAAACAACTTTTCCAAAACAAAAACAATTAATGAGAAAAGTGAAATTATTTTACATATTTTTGCAAATCTCTTTAATATCTGGCGTAATAGAAAGCAGCTAGATTCTCATATCTGTTTCTGCATTCAGTTTATAATATGATACTTTGGTTGAAGCATGTAAAGAAAATCTAGCTTCACCCAGTTAATGCAGTTGGAAAAAGAAAGCGTATTTTAATAGGCAAAAAATGTCTTAGTATTATTATGAAAATAGATCTGATTTCAGGTGCCTCCTAGGAGTGCACAGATCACATTTTGAGAACCTCTGTAGTAGAGAATTGGATGGAATTTCATGCCAGTTTTGTTTCGTTGGCTGTTAGGCCTCATCTGATTTATTTGCAGTGGACCATTGAAGCCGAGAGCTCTGATTATCTCCACATTGTATAATCTACTGCATATAACATGCTGTATTTTCTAATTTTCCATACTATCTTTTGTTTTTCTTACTCTTAATCAGCTGTGGTTCCGGTAGCAGAGATTATTAAGATAGCATACATTTTGTCAGAAATGTGACGTTATTTAGTATTTCCGTAATTAATTTTTTTTTTAGCACAAATATAGAACTTGGTTGGCATGAATGGGCTGAAAAATATTCCAAGTGAGAAATTATGCAGAAGAAATAGTTTGCCTTCCATCAGGAAAATGTATGGCCATAAAAGAAGATAGTAGGCCAGTCATGGAGCGTGTGTGAGAGATAATAATAACTTTGGTTTCATTGGCTGTTGGGCCATGTCTGGTTTATTTACAATGGATGAAGTGAGGTGCACTGGACATCCTCTTCAGCTCCATTGGCATCCACACAGTGTGAAGAGAATTCAAGAAAGTAGCCATGGGAGGACATGGACAAAAGGTATACAGGGATAGGCAGGCAGGGATAGTTTGCTGTCTCCGTCATTGGAGGGAGGTCTGTTAAGTGACCCCGCTAAGCTTTGGGTCATTTGCACATTTGATGAGCAACCTTTAAACAAGTCACTGTATTATATATTAAGGAACACGGGAAAGGATTCCTCAGGTTGACATAGATCAGGGTTGGGGAACCTGCAGCCTGGAGGCCACATGTGGCCCTCTAGGTCCTTGGGTGCAGCCTTTTAGTCCAAGTTTTACAGAACAAATCCTTTTATTAAGGGGATTTGTTCTGTGAAGTTTGGATTCAGTCAAAGGGCCACATGTGGCCTCGAAACTCCAGGTTGCCCACCCCTGACATAGATCAATTAACAGTCATCCTTTGGGTATGGTTTAAAAGCTTTACTAAAATCTAGATATACAGAGCAACTAGGTAGCCATTGGTTAGAGCACTAGGCCTGGAGTCAGAAGGACCAGAGTTTAAATCCAGCGTCAGATGCTTGGTGGCTATGTGACCTTGGGCAAGTCACTTAACCCTGTATGCCTCAGTTTCCTCATTTATAAAATGAAATAGCAAACTAATCTAGTATCTCTGCCAAGAAAACCCCACATGGGATCATGAAGAGTTGGACACAACTGAACAACAAAAATCCAGATTATACTCTCTCAACAACAGCAAAACGAATGACATTCCCATGATCTACTAGTAATGCAACTTTGTCAAAAAAGACAGTGAGGTTAGTCTGGCTGACTGAATTCTGTTTTTATCTTCTTTGACATTGCACAGATTCCAGTGGAGTGCAGGGGCTCCCCACAGGTTATTGCTCACTACGTGACCAGCTCGCCTCCTCTGCTGCACATGCTTTTCTCTGATAACATCCTCTGTGCCATCTTTCCTCTACAGTTCCTTGTTGCCTGTGGACTTACTTGGTGGTGTTTTCTGGCTCATGCCTAACTTGTACTTTTCCATTTCCCCTTGGGTGACCTACAACTTTAATTCTTTGGAGAATGTTATTATTGTAGGACTCCCAGCCATACGAAAAACAGTTGAACAATGTTGATGTTTAAAATAATGAGTCTCTGGGGCAGCTAGGGGACGCAGTGGATAGAGCACTGGCCCTGGAGTCAGAAGGACCTGAGCTCAAATCTGACCTCAGACACTTGACACTTACTAGCTGTGTGACCCTGGGCAAGTCACTTAACCCCATTGCCTAGCAAAAACAAAACAAAATAAAAATAAAATAATGAGTCTCTACACCATTATCCTACTTAATTTAGGGCCCATCTCAGCTGTCCATAATGATGTCCATGAAGTTAATTTTATTTGGTTGTTTTTGTATTTAATTATAGAGAAGCCGCTCGAGAATGCCGTAGAAAGAAAAAAGAATATGTTAAGTGTCTGGAAAATCGAGTTGCTGTCTTGGAAAATCAAAATAAAACTTTAATAGAAGAATTAAAAACTTTAAAAGATCTCTATTCCAATAAAAATGTCTAAAAAGAAGATAAACAAATTTTATGGACTTACCTAAAAATTAAATGGATTTTCTTTTTATATGGAATTTTATAAACTAAAAGGTCAAAAATGAAACTTTTAAACCTAGGAGTTGCAACATAAAGACTAAAGATTTTATTTACAAGATGATGGAGATAAGAGGACTTCAAGCAAGCTCCTGGCACAACTGGAATTTTTATTGGAATTAACATTAACAGTGGTACCGGATCAACAGAACATGAATTTTCAGCAATTTGAATTTCCCAGAAAGTAGTTATCAACAAAGTTTGCAACTGAGACAATTCATTAATGGAAGTTTGATGGGGGAGGGTTAACCAACATTTTATTGGTATAGATTTTCATTACTTAGTAGCTTCTGAAATATGCCCTTTTTAATTGTTTATGTAAATATTTTTGTCTGCCAATATTCTAAACTGCAGATTTAAAAGAAAATCTAATGCTTTGTAAAATGTATAAATTATGTGTACTTTGCTTAACCATCAAGTCTTTTAAATGATCTTTTAAAAAATTATTGTTTGCAAGAAGGAAAAACAAACAGGGCATAATCATTTTTCAAGTTTTGTCTTTCAAGATGTCCAAGCCACATCAACTGAAAATGAAGCTTTCAAAGACGTATTCCAATCATTTTATAGAAACAGTTTAGTAAACTGGACAGAACAGTTTGAACTTTTGAAAGTTTTTAAAAAATAGTATTGATTTTGCTTTTTTGGGTGTGGTAACTTTCTCTAAATGGATCGTAATAAATCATGTGCTGATTCTATATGCAGCTGATATGCATTACTTATTCTACTGTGCTTTAATAGAAAGAAATGTTTACAAGCCCCTAAAAAAAAATTATTTTAGAGGATTTTTAAAAATCAGCTGAAGATACGTACCAAAGTATTTTTCCAAGAGGGTTTTTCTAATCAAAATCTAATGTAGGGCTTATCAGTTAAAAAATAATGCAATTTTAAAACAATTATCATGTAGAAAATATTTTGTGAGGTAAAAAATGGTACCTTTGTAAGAAAAAGTGACTATTTTTATATAGTTAATCTTCATGAATTCTAAAGTTGTGTTTTTATGCTTATTTTATCAGTTTATACAGTTTTTAGTAAAAAAAGAATAGATATTTTATCTCAGATTATCATTTTTATATTTTCATGGGGACTAAGGTTTTCTAAATTGCAAGTATTTGAATTATGTGCATTTCTGTATAATTATCTGAAATCCAAAATATGCTGTTAGTACATCAGTAGTTCTGTAATCAAACTACTCATTTTTGAGCTTACCTACAAAAATATTGTCAACTCCTAATATTTGTATCATTTTGTTTTATTCCTGTAAAAATTAAAGGGCATTTGAGATAATCAAGACTGTTGGATGTAAAACATATACAATTTGGAAGAAAAGGTTTGAAACTTGAATGACAACCAGTTTCTTGCTGCTTATGGTTTCACCAAAAGTCATATCAATTATTGAAATACATCTATTGTGCTAGAAACAATATAAAACTAATCAAGATGTGCCTTGTCCTCTTGGAATATCTAGACTAGAAGAAGAAGAAATGCAACTAGTGAGAAATAGATTTTATTGCACAACAGAGGAGCAAACATGAGGCTTGAAGAAAGTCAGCTTACTTGATCATATCAGTGAAATCCTCATGGACAAGTTGCTATTTAAGCTGCTTTTTGAAGGGTAGGTAGGGTTTCAGGAGGCAGAGAGTTGGGACAAGGGATAGGAAATGGCATATATGAGAAGTAGGATGAAAAGCTTGAGCAGCACCAAATTGTGCCTGGCCTTGAAGCTGTTGTGAAAGATCTCTTTAAGGAGTTTTTCTTTTTAATAAAAACTTGAAAATCACTTTTCGAGTAAGAAATCCTAAGATTTTTTAATGAAAAATTGATTTTTTCAGTTTTGTTACATCAAGCCATGGGTATTAGCGATCAAATTATTGGTCTTCCTGTTATATTTGCTCTCTTTTGTACTTCAAAATTCTCTGAGCTACCATAAATACATTAAGTGATAAGGTGGTATATGAATATAAGCCAAATTGAAGGCAAGGATTTACTATTATAGATTATTGAAGCAGTCCTGAACAAACAAGTTAGTGTGCATGTCACAATGAATTTTACACAAATCTGCATATGTCCTACATTGAAAGGTTGTATTTCAGGCAAGGAATGTTTTAACTATTTGTCACTCCAAAGTGCTTTTGGCTAACATAATTTACCAGGTGGTATTCCACTATTTAAAAATTGTTAATAGAAGAATTATACATTTTTTAGTATAGCTAGCTATAGGTCTGTTGCTTGCTATAATTTGGTACTTGGCTTCCTTTAAGAAGTGCTGATCATCAGTTCTTTCAGTAGCCAAAACTTTGATCAATCAGACACCAAGAAAAATATTGCGGAAAGCAATTTTAACACCATTATGGTTTCCATGGCTGATTTAGTAAATTCAGTGAAAAAAACAATAACTACTATTGTTTATTAAGTCAGCATAAGGCAGGGTTGCCAAGTATAGCTAAGTAAATATAAACTAAGTAAATATGACTGGGAAGATAAGGATAGCCTTCATAGAGAAGGTGGTCTTTGAGCTGAACCTTGTGAAAGTAGCTGGAGGAAAGAAGAGTGCATTTTAGGTAGAGACAGGAGATGGCAATAGCAAATATACCAGTTTGAACAGAAAATAGAATGAAGGAAAATATGCATTAGTTTTGTAAAGGTAGGATGGAACTACATTGTGAAGGGCTTTAAATGTCAGATAAATCTGTATTTAATCCTAGAAGTAGAGGGAGCCATTAGTTTCTTGAGGGGAGTAGCATGTTCAGATCCACACTTTGGAAATCCAATTTAGCAGCTGTGTAAAAGTTGAATTGGAGAGGAAAGAAACAAGCGCAGGAAGACCAGTTTAGGAGGTTAGTTACATTTGTGCTGGAGTGAACTAGAATGGTGGCCATGTGAATGGAGAGAAGAGGATAGATGTGGAGATAGAATTTGATAAGCTTGATTGAATGTGGAGGAGATGGGGCCAGAGGAGTGAAGGAAAAGTGTTGTAGGTGACTCCAGGGTTGTAAACTTGGGACTGGTGGTGCTTAAAAATAGAAAAGTTAGTAAGAGGGTTTTTTAAAAATTTTTATTTTCTGTTATAAATTCTCTCCTTCCACCTCCCCCCATTGGTTTGAGAAGGTAAGAAATATGATACTCATGACATTTGAAATCATGCAAAACATTAGCCATGTTGTGAAAGAAGATATGTCCTTCAGTCTGCACTCAGAGTCCATCTGTTCTCTCTCCAGAGGATAGCATTTTTCATTATAAGTCCTTTGGAATTGTCATGGATCATTGTATTGATTAGAGTAGCTAAGTCTTTCATACAATATTGCTTTTGTTGTGTGCAGTGTTCTGGTTCTAATCAGTTCACATAGGTCTCCTAGGTTTTTTCTGAAGTCATCCTCTTCGTAATTTCTTTTATCACAGTGGCATTTCATCACAATCATATAGCATAATTTATTCAGCCATCACTCAGTTGATGGGCATCCTTTTAGTTTCCAATTTGCTAACCACAAAGAGAGCCGCTATAAATATTTTTGTACAGATAGATCCTTTTCCTTTTTTCTTTGATCTTCATGAGCTATAAGCCTATTAGTGGTATTGCTGGGTCAAAGGGTATGCATCGTTTTATAGCCCTTTGGGCATAGTTCCAAATTGTTCTTCAGAATGGTTGGATCAGTTCAGAACTCCACCAACACACCACATCCCTTCCAATATTTGTCATTTTCTTTTTCTGTGATGTTTTTAATATAAGTTAAGAGTTGTTTTAATTTGTATTTCTCTATTAGTGATTCAGAGCATTTTTTATATGACTATTGATAGCTTTGATTTCTTCCTCTGAAAATTGCCTGTTCATGTCCCTTGACCATTTATCAATTGGGGAATGTCTCTTATTACAAATTTGGCTCAGATCTTTATATATTTCATATATAGACCTTTATCAGAGAAACTTGCTGTAAAATTTATTTACCCAGTTTCCTGCTTTTCCCTAATTATGGCTGCATTGGTATTGTTTGTGTTAAAATTTTGTATTTATTAATTTATTGGGGGAGGAGGCGAGGCAATCAGGGTTAAGTGACTTGCCCAGAGTCATATAGCTAGTAAGTATCAAGTGTCTGAGGTCAGATTTGAACTGAGTTCCTGGTGAGAGAGCACAGTCCAGCACAGGCTGCACCAGTACAGCCCCAGCCATAGGAAACCAAGAGCAGGTCTTGGGAGTAGCTGAAGCAGGAGTAGCAACAGCTGCTTCTGGAGCTTTTAGCCCACAGACAGTAAGAGGGTCAAACAATTGGTCAGAAGGAGATTACAGAGGCCTTTTTGCTAGCATTGAGGCAGGATTCTGTTGCTTTGTGCATAATCAAATCTGGGTCAGTCCTGGGTGGTAGTCCCAGGGCAAGGGAGGAGCACTAGCATAGCAGAACTTTTGGCCACACTCCAGGGGAGACCCTCCCCACAGGTCCAGGGTAGAAAAAATATTTGTGGTCGCTATCAGACCAGAGCACAGGCCAGGAAGGAATAAACACCTCTATTTATATCATACCGCCTTGGAAGAACTAAAAACTTACAGGTCCCTAGAAGTCTCCCTAAAAACAGCTGCATAAACCCCTAAAGGTTGGGACAGTGCACCCTCCACCTTGGAAGCAGAGCCTTACTTTATAACAAAGAATTAAAAGTCAAATAATTGGCTGGGGGAAAAAGCTAACAATGGGAAAAAACTGACTATAGAAAGTTGCCATGATGACAAGGAGATCAAAACACACACGCAGTAGAAGACACCAAAATCAAAGCTCCTACATCCAAAGCCTTCAAGAAAATATGAATTAGTCTCAGGGTATGGAAGAACTCAAAAAGGATTTTGAACATCAAGAGGTAGAGGAAAAATTGGGAAGAGAAATGGGAGTGGTGTAAGAAAATGTGAAAAATGAATAAACAGCTTGGTAAAGGAGACTCAAAAAAATACTGAAGAAAATAACACCTTAAAAAACATACTAGACCAAATGGTAACTGAGGTCCAAAAAGCAAATGAGAAGAATGCCTTCAAAAGCAGAATTGGCCAGATGAAAAAGGAGGTCCAAAAGCTCACTGAAGAAAATAATTCCTTTTTTTTTGGCTAGGCAGTTGGGATTAAGTGACTTGCCCAAGGTCACACAGCTAGTAAGTGTCAAGTGTCTGAGGCTGGATTTGAACTCAGGTCCAAAATAATTCCTTAATAATTAGAATGGAGCAAATGGAAGCTAACGACTTTATGAGAAATCAAGAAATTATCAAACAAAACCAAAAGAATGAGAAAAATAGAAGACAAGTGAAATATCTCACTGAAAAAACAACTGACCTGGAAAATAGATCCAGGAGAGAAATTTAAAAATTATTGAACTACCTGAAAGCCATGATCAAGAAAAAAAGCATTGACATCATCTTTCAAGAAATTATCAAGGAAAACTGCCCTGATATTATAGAACTAGAGTGTAAAATAGAAATTGAAATAATCCACCAATCACCTCCTGAAAGAGATGTCAACATGAAAACTCCGAGGAATATTATAGCCAAATCCCAGATCAAGGAGAAAATATTGCAAGCAGCCAGAAAGAAACAGTTTCAAGTATGGTGGAGCCACTGCCAGGATAACACAAGATTTAGCAGCTTCTACATTGAAGGATCAGAGAGCTTGGAATATGACATTCCAGAGGGCAAAGGAGCTAGAATTACAATCAAGAATCACTTACCCAGCAAAACTGAATGTAATCCTTCATGGAGGAAAATGGACATTCAATGAGAGAGGACTTTCAAGATGAAAAGACCAGAGCTGAATAGAAAATTTGACTTTCAGATACAAGACTCAAGAGAATCATAAAAAGGTAAACAGGAAAAGGAAATCATAAGAGTCTTAATAAAGTTAAACTGTTTTTATTCTTACATGGGAAGATGGTATTTGTAACTCATAAGACCTTTCTCATTATTAGGGTAGTTAGAAGGAGTGTGTATATAGACAGAGGGCACAGGTGTAAGTTGAAGGGATGATATCTAAAAAATAAAATTAAGGGGTGAGAGAGAGGAATGTACTGGGATAAAGGAAAAGAGAGAGGTAGAATGGGGTAAATTATCTCACGTAAAAGAGGCAAGAAAAAGCTTTTACAGTGGAGGGGCAGAAGAGGGAGGTTAGAGGAAGTGAGAACCTTACTCTTACCAGAATTGGCTCAAAGAGGGAATAACATACACATTTAATTGGATATGGAAATCTATCTTACCCTATAGTAAAGTAGGAGGGGAAGGGGATAAAAAAAGGGGAGGATGACAGAAGGGAGGGCAAATTGGGGGAGGGGGTAGTCAGAAGCAAAAAACTTTTAAGGAGAAAGAGAATAGAATAATGGGGG